GGCTTGCAAAGCGAAACAGCAAAGTGTGTGGCATACATGAGGCGTGTTGGGACACGAAGGAAAACATGGCTGGCCATGGTGGAAAAGATTGGGACCTTATCACGTAGCACCCAAAGACAGTAACAACATGCAAAAGTTACTGACATCAAGAGAAATAAGCAGTACATTAAAAATGAGAGTTGTCAAATGTTATGTATTCTCAGCCTTACTGTATGGCACAGAGACATGGACAATGAACAAACAAGTGGTAAATCGTATCAATTCTTTGGAGATGTGGATATACAGAAGATTAGGTCGTATTTCAAAAAGTAAACAAAAGCTATCAAATACAGAGGTACTGAGGAAATTGGGAATGAAAAGAGAGTTGCTAGGTGAAATAAAAAAGAGACAAGTGAAATATTTTGATCACATTAAAAGACATAACAGTATTGTAAAGATTATCCTAGAGGGAAAGGTTCAAGGTAGGCGAGCAAGAGGCAGACAGCGTTACAAGTGGGAGGATAACATCAAGAGATGGACGAACAGCAGTATGAGTGAGTGTACATCAAGGGCAAGAGACAGGGCTTGTTGGAGATCCATTGCAGCCAACTCTTCATTGTGGAGACGGCACCTGATTGATTGAAAACCCGCATCAATTGTTGATTTTGATATTTCTTTAAAAAAAAAATACAACCCACCAACACTGGACTGCAGGTTACTTGGTATGAGTTCTATTGAGCTGAGTCAAGAGTTGGCATCACAAAACTCGTATGTGAGCTCTGTCCTCATCTTCAGCAGCCAGCGCAGAGTTCCAGTACTGATGGTACCGGTCGCAATCTGGTTATATGTCCGTCTTGCCTTTCCTCTGAGTGTAGTGACTCTCTGGTCACCTAGGTGCATCATTCTCTCCAGGCCATAATAATCCCGTTTCTCTTCTGACTCCGTTGTTTGTTGCCTTGACCCCATCTACCTTGTCAGGTATCAATTCACCACCCAGTGGTGCAGATCCAGCCAGTCTGTCTGCCTGTCGATTCCCCATTAGTTCAATGTTGAATTAGGAATCGACATTACAGCACTCGGGACACTCCCATAAGTGCCCAGTCCCCATCTTCAGCAGCAAGCGACGAGTTCAAATTCCAATGGTATCAGTAACCGTCTGATTGTGTATTGGAATAAGTTATGAGTTGGATTATCTTCACAACACTCATGACATGTCCATAGGTGTTCAGATCTCTCTTCAACATATTCATCATCGTCGAGCAGTCAATAGTGCCAACCCTATGCTGGTTGACAAGGCTTTGTGTGCGTCCGGTGTGCTTCTCATGTTCAACTGTGCCGATCTTTACTCTTAACTTTACTTGTTGATTCATGGTACCCTAATAATATATAACTGTGTTATATAACGATATACGGTTAAACCACAGCTATAATGGCGTCTCCCTGAGATTTTACATTAACTACATAAATTCACTGGATACAAATAAACTCACTAAGCGTTATGGGGGCAATCCGGTATTTTAAATTTCTTATAGTTGTTTATCATCCTTGCCTCTCAAAGACCAACCCCACGTCCTCGTCGTGAGAGGTGGTAACAGGACAAAGTAGGGGATTGCTAGGTGTGGGCGAAGTATGGTGTGGCCTCGTGCCACGGGACCGCTACGGTAGCCATGAAGGCCACCCTGGGTCACCCCGAAACGTCCTGGCCAACGGGGCTCTGATGAAGTTGCGACAGGCCTAGCAAGCCGGCAATGGATTTTTTACCGCTACAAAAATCAAAATGAGATATAAACGGACTGATCAAACGGTATCTGACCATGGCAATGTTAAGGGACTACGAGACAGAACAGCGAAATACAAGATTGCAACACTTAATACCGCTGGCCTGGGAAATAAAACAGAAGAGACTATTGAAATGATGGAAAAAAGGAAAATCAAGTAAATGGTGCTAGCTGACATAAGACGCAAGGGAAATATTAATAAGAAAATACACAGAGGCTACTTACTAACATATGCAGGAGGAGAAACATCAAAGAATGGAGTGGGTTTCCTGGTACATCCGGACATATCTAACTACATATTAGACATACATTATCACTCAGATAGAATTATTACTTTGAAAATTAAAAGATAAGAACAAGCTGAAACATATATACAGATATATGCACCATGCAATGATAATTATACAGAAGAGCAGCATACTATATGTAATGAGTGACTTCAACGGGAGGGTAGGAAATAACAGAAGAGAATACGAACAGTTTTTAGGTCCATATGCAGCTAAGAACAGTGCTAGAAATGGAAATGGTCAAAGAATATTGGATCTATGCAGCCAGCACAATCTTTTTATTACGAACACATTCTTTGACCATAGAGATTCACAACTTTACATTTGGTACAAATGGAATGATATCTCCATCAAGAGCCAGATTGACTTTATACTTACCAGAGTTCAAGGAAGAAGGAGAATTCTTGATTCAAGAGCAATCCCTAATGGTCTATGTGACACTGACCATAAAATAGTTGTGTTAACAGCAAAACATCTTACATTAAAGAAACACAGAAAGAAATTAAACAAAAACAAGGATCTCATCAAGATAGCAAATCTGAAACAGGAAGGAGTAAATGAACAGTTACAACAGAAAGTAGAGACAGCATTCAAACAACTTCCACATGGCGTTGGCAATATTGAGGAAGAATGGAGTATATATAAAAACACTATGCATATTGCAGAAGAATTATGTGGAAAACGGAAGAGTGGAAACAGACGGGGAAATAACAAATATTCACCTTGGTGGTGCGAAGAAGTAAAAGAAGCAATTAAAAAGAAAAAAGACTTACATAAACAGTGGATAAAATCAAAGAAAGAAGAAGATTATATAAACTATAGACTGCAAAGGAGAGAAACCAACAGGAGTGTCAAGAAAGCAAAACAAGCATCCTGTGAACGTTTCGGTGAGTCACTAGCAGAAAATGAGAAAACAGCCAGCAGAAAATTTTTCAAAGTGGTTAAAAATATGCGAAAAAGAGATGAGAGCTACAACCCCACTGAAATAATTAATGATAAGACAGGAAGGCCATTGATAGATCCACCCGAGATAGCAGAAAGATAGAGGGAATACTTCAATGAGCTCTTTAATCCTCTAGGAGATCATCAGGAAAGAACAACTGAAGAGCACAGAGCAACAGTGTTAGAACCACACATACTAATGGATGAAATAGAAAAAGTCATTAAACAGTCTCCTAAATATAAAGCACCAGGAGCTGATAGATTACCAACAGAAATAATTCAAGCAGCAGGTGAAAGCAGCATCAGATGGCTTCACAGTATATTCAATGCAGCATGGGTACAACAAACGGCCCCTATTGATTGGCAACATGCAATAGTTATACCATTGTGGAAGAACAAAGGAAGCAAACGAGAATGCGGTCAATATCGAGGCATCTCTCTTTTAAGCCATGTTGGCAAAATGTATGCCAAGATAATAGAAACAAGACTGAGACCAGTGATAGAACCACAGCTGGCAGAAGAACAGATAGGATTTAGGAGAAATAGAAGCTGCACAGATGCAATCTTCACACTTAAACAGTTAATAGAAAAGAACATTGAATACAATAAGAACTTATTTGTGGCATTCGTAGACCAGGAGAAGGCATTTGACAGAGTCGACAGACAATTACTATGGAAAATAATGGCAAGATATGGAGTAAGCGAACACCTCATCGAAGTGTGCAAAAGTTTATACAGAGATTGTAGAAGTGTAGTTAGAATAAATCAGGGAACATCTCATCCTTTCACAGTGACATCTGGAGTAAGACAGGGGTGTGTCTTATCACCACTGCTGTTTATCACCTACATCGACAGTATATGCAAGAATGCCAAGCCCATAAATGAAGATCTTAGTAAGATCAACGAATTACTCTTTGCAGATGACCAGGCCTTAATAGCAGATACACCCATGAAATTGCAACAACATTTAACATCCATGAATGAAGAATGTAAAACAAATAATATGAGAATCAACACTGAAAAGACAGAAGTAATGTCAATAGGAAAAAAGAAGACAGATCTAAACATAGCAATAGAATACAAAGACATTAAACAGGCATCTGAGTTTAAATATCTGGGAACTACATTTACCGAAGATGGGAAATTGGATAAAGAAATTGACATTAGATGCAGTAAAGCAAACAAAGTATTGGGACAGCTAGCCCCCCTCTTACAGTATAAGACAATCCCAATCAGCACAAAGAGACATCTTATTCAAAGCATATTTATTCCAACTCTGTGCTACCAGTGCCAGACATGGTCACTCACAACAAACCATAAAAGAAAATTAGTAACCACGGAAATGAGATGTCTGAGAAGGGCTGTAGGAGTGACCATAAGAGATAAAATCAGGAATGAGATCATAAGAGAACAAGTCGGCACAGAACCAATTCTGGATTACATACAAAGACAGCAAGTTTGCCCACTTAGAGAGAATGCCTTGTGACACCATACCATACAAAGCATACATGGAAAGAGAAGAAGGACGTAGAGCACGGGGTAGACCAAGAACAAGATGGAAGGATAACATCAGAGAAACTCTACAACAGCACGATGTGCCTATGGTCGAGGCAACCAGAAGAGCTAGAAACAGAACCTTATATCTCCCTCGACACCCACAGCGGTAAAAGAGGAAGTGAAGAAGAAGAAGTTTATCATCCTTGAGATATTAATCTTATCGATTTTAAATATGGAAGAAAAAAAAAAACGAAGAAAAAAAATATTTCGCGTTCTGTGTGTTAACATTTCATCCCCTTCAGATCCAAAAATATATAAATTAATGTAAGAATATAGCAAGTTTAACTGGATAGCCCATGCATATAGTTTTATAGTCAATAAGGGAGCAAATAAAGGCCGCCATTACTGTTTCCGGTATTTGGTGCTGAACTGCAGAAGCTTGGCGCGATCAAATGGACAAAGTTGGTAACCTGAAATAAGGGACTAGATACACGTTCACAACAAATATTGCTGAAAAATGACAGACAAAGAAGCCGGTATGCTTGTATTTTGAATTAGGTTAAATCAGTGACATATAACACTACTCAGAATAGGTTTTATATAGTTGTATGCTCATTAAGACTGTTATTTTTACCCAAAAACCAATAATTTTTATGACAATTAAAAAGTTAAACCAAAGCTGAAAGCAGAAAGGTGTAGTATTTTATTTAGTATATATCTACCCGTGGAGGCCCCTTTCCCCCCAGTTCTCTCTTATTTAGTGTGAAGGAACACCAGTGTCGCAAAAGAGTGATTTGAATTGAATATACTAAAAGGTACTATCTTTTAAAAATGTTACAATTATTTATAAACAGTTAATCTAGCTACTTCAGTCAAATTTTTAAAATGCCCTCTACACCAAAAAGACCAGCACAGTTAGATAACTGTAAACAATCTCTTTCCAATGGTACCTCATTTAGGCTTGTATGTCATTTCTGAGCTGAGATATGTAGGTTTTTGTGGAGATGAGATGTAAGAAACAGCCGCAAAAACTTGTGACCCAGAAACAAGAAGTTTTTCTCTGCGCAACCTACTGCGCAGTTCTGTATCGGCTTTGTTGACATTGGACTGTCATTGGACAAGATGGCAGGCAGTGAGACTCAGCTCACTCAGCCGCATGCGATTGCCTAAAAAATGTCACTGTAAATCTAAACAGCCGAAGACGGGAAAGAAATTTTATATGCAAATGTAAAATTGGACGGAGAATTCAATTATAACTAGCATTTACCACATCTGGTAATGTTTAAGGCCTAAACCAACCTCGAATTTACCGTTATTTTCAATGAAACTGATAGACTAACAGAAAAACAGAGAATGTCCGGCGGTCGTAGACATGCGCTGTTAATCGAGTTCCTTCCCGCCGTTTTCAGCTATTTAGAGTGGGTGAAAATCACACCAATGGCAAAATTTCATGAGAGATTAGGACCCATCCCGAAACCCAAGCCGACATTTCCGAAACAAGTTTCAAACGGTTTCTATGGTAACGGAAATTGTCGAAAAGATCGCTAATTTCCGAAACTGTAGTAGCTAGTTAATCTGTGATAAGTGCCTTGCGTCACCCTACTGTACTGCTACAGTGGCTACAGCAGGGCTATTCAGCTATTCAACTAAATTTGCTCAGGGCCAAAATTTTGAAAATGGGTATCGCCACGGGCCAGAGTCTCACGCCCCAGCATAAACAGCTCAATATAGTACAACTGACAATGATCCGCGGGCCACTTGCTATGCCTTCGCGGGCCAGATTTGGCCCCTGGGCCGCCAGTTGAATAGCCCTGCTCTACAGTGTACTCACTGTGTGTACCTTGGTAGCGAGGTTGTAGTGTAGTGGTAATAATAATAATAGAATATTGCAAAACCCTCCCATTATGAATTCCTGGGTCCTGTTATGGGAAGAACAAGAATAGACCCACTGCCTTCTTAACAAGCAGTCATAGATTTAACTAATTGGGGCATTCAAAGTGAGAGTGCATCTCTGCACATAAATAAGTTAGTAAAATTGATGTACATGCAAGCCCGGGCACAGAGCCAAAGTCTGTGGACGAACAACCTGGACTCTCCGCCGAAGCTTACAGCTGTTGAAGAAAGAAGAAGAAGAGAAAAGCAAAACTAAATGTTTTTAAAAAAACCACAGAAAGACATATAGTCTGTGAACTGAAAGGTACTTTATAACCAAATGTATAGTACTTGATAACCACATGTATACTTCTCCAGAACAATGTGTATAGTTCACTAGTGACTGATCATGATTATTGAAATATTTTCTGTGCATTCTTTAGGTTCAGAAAACTATGATGAGGCAGCAGAAGAAAGAGTTATCAATGAAGAATACAAAATATGGAAGAAGAACACACCATTCCTCTATGACTTGGTTATGACACATGCCCTTGAGTGGCCCAGTCTGACTGTCCAGTGGTTAGCTGATGTGACCAGGTAATTATGTTTATTTTGCTTTGAACACATATAGTCAGTATAGAAAGCTTTACTATTTCAACACTGTCTATCCTAAAGATTTTGTTAAAAAAAATGTTAAGGTTTTAGTCCCCTTTTTTGTGTGTCTTTAGGAATGTTAGGAATATAGTGATAAACCTATAATTTTAGGCTACTCGGCATTCAGTGAGTGATGTTGACAATATCACACTGACCTCCTTTACTTCTCAGGACTACCTGATATCCATTCTAGACTGGTTCAACCTGGGAGCCAGGATCATTGGTGAAAAAAATCAGGTCTCATGGAATAGAAAAATAGGCTCTCTGTTAAACTATGGCCGGTTAGTCGGGAGTTAAGTCCCTTGGCTGCAGTGCAATTACGGAGTGGAAAAGAATGAATGAAACAAATGACATAATTACTGTGTGTTGGCGATAGACAGCGCGCAGTACCCTGCTGTCATCATACGGCTAGGGTTTGGGTTAGGGGTATGGTTAGGGGTAAGGTAAAACTTAGTATCAGGAGGGAAAATATAGAGAAGGATCCGACAGATAAAAATGTAATACTTCATAACAGAGCAAAAGCAGCCTTCACCAAAGAGAGAAATAATCAGATGAGGGAAAGCTGGCACAAAAAGACAGCGTCATTTAACCTCGAGAAGGACACTTCATGTCTGTGGAATCTCACAAAAAGCTTGAATGGAGACAGGACAGAAAAAGCCAGAGTTGACTCCAAACAGACGATGGATCTGTTACTGGCAAGGTAGCAGCAGATGTGCTAGCTGAAACACACCAGAAGGAAACTGAGGTTCATATTCCCATGCAAAGAATAAAAGAAGTACGAAACCAGACCAAGACTCGTCTAGCACAAAAACAAAAGAGGCCTGCATGTCAGAAAAATTTACTATGCAAGAGCTAGAAGTTGGAATTGGAGAGTTGAAAATAAAGAAAGCCCCAGGGGCTGACGGCATTACAAAAGAATTTCTCTCTCATCTTGGACCTGCTGCCAAGAAGTTTCTTCTCTGCATTTACAACCAGAGCTGGCAAAAAGGGGTAGTACCGTCAGCCTGGAAGGAAGCCCTCATCCAGCCTATCCTTAAAAAGGGTGGAGACAGAAGAGACCCAAAAAGCTACAGACCCATTAGCCTTCTTAGTTGTGTAGGAAAATTGATTTAGAAATTAGTAAATAAAGGACTAATATGGTTCTAGGAAACAAACTCGGTAATCACCACCACACAGACAGGATACAGACAGCACAGAAATACAGAGGACCAGCTGACATATCTGACACAGGAAATTGAGAATGCTTTCCAGGAAAAAAAGAAAGTTATTGCTGTCTTCTTTGACCTCTCTCGTGCTTTTGATACAGTTTGGAAAGAAGGCCTACAACTAAAACTGCTACAGGCAGGAGTTGTGCACAACATGTACAAGTGGATCAAAGACTTTCTTTTCCAACGCAGAGCCAGATTCAGAATTGATGGACACATCGGCAAACTGGCAAAACTAAGAGAAGAAGTTCCCCAGGGCAGTGCGATAGCACCAACTCTGTTCCTGGTTTACATAAATGATATCACAGCAACCTGCCACCAGCACGTTTCTAATACCCTACATGCTGATGACTTTGCAGTTTGGACAGCCTCCCAATACACTACCACAGCCTCATATCTGTTACAGAAAACTTTGAAAAATGTAGAAGCCTGGACCGAAAAGTGGGGTCTAAAGCTAAATAATTCAAAAAGCACAGCATCACTTTTCTCTCTCTCCCCCAAAAAAGAAAAACTCGAAATTTTGATTAAAAACCAGCTCATTCCACAGACTGACACTCCTACCTTTCTGGGTGTTACACTTGATTACACTCGACTAACTTGGAAGTCACATGTAGAAGCAGTACAGAGAAAAGCATTCAAGAAGCTTGCAGTGATAAAAAAATTAGCGGGTACCACATGGGGCGCTAACTCTAGAATCCTAAAACAAGTATATACTGGAGCAGTCAGGCCAGTCATGGAATATGCCTCCACTGCATGGGCTGCAGCAGCCAAGACAACAATGGGAAAACTGGACAAGTTTCAGAATATGGGATTAAGGGTTGTTCTCGGAGCCATAAAAACCACCCCCATCAGAGAAATAGAAAAGATAGCAGATACTGAACCACTTGAACTCAGAAGACAATACAAAACTCTTTTACAATATGAGAAATTAAAAAGACTTTAAAGTCACCCACTTCATTTTAAATTTCAAGAGAGAACAAAAAACAGACTGAAGCGTCAGAACCCCAACCACCTAGAGAACTGTACAGACAGCACCAAGATCTGCTTGAAAGAGATGTTGCACTGTGCGAAAAACTTAGGCCAGAACCATGGACAAGCAAGCCAGAGAAAGCAAATGTAGTCCTAAAGGTACCAGGAATCACTTCAAAAGATGCCCAGATGGAGAAACAACAGAGAACCCTGGCTCTTGCTATGCTTGATGAGAAGTATCCAAACACCACTTGGACTCAGGTTTTCACCGACGGCTCTGCTACAGATGCAGTCAGAAAGGGGAGTTGTGGAATTTACATTAAACCCCCTAGCAGTAGAGCAGAAACTCTCTCTCAGCAGGTGACATCTGCACTAACTTCAGAGCTGAGACAACTGCCCTCCTCTCTGCAGTCCAACATCTCATCACTCAAGAACACAGAGGGCACCAAATTGTTATACTTAGTGACTCATTGTCTGTTCTCCAAGCATTATCCAGCATAAAAAAAGACAAACTAATTGCTGATCTAAGGACCAACATTGGCTTACTCTCCAAGGAAGCAGAACTGGTCTTGCAGTGGATACCAGCCCACTGTGCTATTCAAGGAAATGAAAGAGCAGATGAGTTGGCAAAAGCTGGGAGTAATCTTCAACAACCTCATCCACCACACAGCTACAAGGAAACCAAAACAGCGCTAAAGCAGTTTTTCAAGCGGGAATGGAGATTATAGACCAGAGAGTGACTGCATAAACAAACTCAACAGGAAAGAACAAACATCAATTTTTAGACTTCGAACTGGACACTGTGGTCTTCGAGCACACTTGTACAGGATAGGCATAAAAGAATCTGCTGCCTGTGATTGTGGAGCAGAAAGACAGACCCCTGAGCACATACTTCAGTAAAGACTGTGGATCTGGCATTGCGAGAGAAGCTATGAGGGACCGGTGGCGACCTTAAACGCACAATCCTATTTGTGACCCAGACGGGACTCAATGTTTAGCATGACTGATGTCGAACGCAGAAGAAGAAGAGAAAAGAGGGGTAGGGTTAGGGTAATACATGTAACGTCGAGTACTTACCCATAATGACGGCCGCTATATCTGATAATTTTGACACAAAGCTTGCGTCGAAGGCTCGTGGTCGCTAATGTGAGTCGCAGCGCGTGGTCTAGCTCTAGCAGCCACGTCGACGTCACTTTGTTTTGTGAATCGTGCCTTCTCCACCTGTAATTTCACTGTAGCCAGGGGACTGAACTCTGACTAACCGGCCGTAGTTTAAAGGAAATTATAGGAACATCTGGAATAGAATGGGTGAACATTAACAAAAGAACGAGACAGCAGGAGTAAAGAAATGCCAAATATATAAACAATTAGTGAACTTATACCAAGTTTCCTGGTAGTAAAATATTTTTGCTGCGGGACAATAAATGTATTTAGCAAAATCAAGTTATATCAAGACAACAAATGACAAGAGATGTTGGAACGGTCATTATTGTCAATGGATATCCGAAACCATGCACCTGAATATGTCTTCCCGTAAAGGTTCTGGGGCCACATTATTGATGAGTGATAATAGACCCACTGCCTGCTGTCTTTCCAACAATCATGTTTAAAAAAGTGAACTAATTAGGGTTGTTTCTATAAACAGCTGGCAGAGAGAACAAAAAGAAGAAAGAAACTCAGCAAAGTATAAAGGAAAAATGTAACCTGTTTTTGACTAAGTCTTTATCAGTGTGTGCTCGGAAACAAGTAGAATATTTCTAGATCATTTTCTCCTGTGAGGAAGTCGATTGAATAACTGTTAAGGAATTTGATGAAAAATAGCAACGGGAAGCAGTGTTGTGAAATGAAACATGAATAAAAGAAAAAAATTGTGAAAGGGATAATTGAATAATAATAATTGTAATGTTCTAACTATTATTTTTTTATTGACTCTATTATAATTTTTTTTATTGTTAACTATTATTAAAGTAATTGGCAAATAATAGCACAGCTTGGTGTAAACTGGTTAATTACTTTTTCTCTGTTAAAGAATAAAGAGCAGAACAAGAAGCTGAGAATATTTTTGTAATATTTGTGCTTTTATCTTATTTTAGGCCAGAAGGAAAAGACTACTCTCTGCATAGGCTGATTCTGGGAACTCATACGTAAGTAATAATTTTAGAGCTTGAAGTCTGATAAAAAAAATATAAATGCATAGTTTGTCTTGTCTGCTGTTAAAATTGTATTATTAATTTTATTTCTAATTGTTTAGTGATACATGATTTTTTACGTTAATTGAATGGTAGATCATGGTATGGGGAACACTGGAGTACATCATGCCAGTGGGGAAAATACAGGGGAACAGAAAGGGGCTGGCGGAAGTGTGGCTGAAGAAATAATATACAGTAAAGTCACGTTAACATGAATTCAAGTGGACAGGAAATGAAGTTTGCATTAGGAAGAAAAAATTGTGCTTGCTGAAGACTAATAATAATAATAGTACATACCTGCGGGCGATTTGGAAGCAGAACATCTTACGTTGCTTTCGACAGGTGTACCAAGAATTGATCATTCAGAAAGCGATGGCAAACTACTGAACGTAAAATTTGCATAGAAAAACCACCAGAGCAAAAAAAAAAAAATGATGGGGTATTTTCTGCAACATCCTGTAAAGGATATACCACTGACCAACTTTTTAACTGTTGGGACATAATTTTTTTTCCTTTTGAATCTTGGCCAAATGTTTTTAAGGGAGCTCATGTAAGGTTTTACTGCAGTTCACAGTTTGGCTTTATGGCATGGAAAAAAATCTGTCTTAAAAATGTACATGATACACATGGTTAAGGAGAAATACCATTAGCTACTTAGCTTTGTATTGGATATATAAGCAGAATATAAAGATAAGTAGACCCAGTGACATCTTAGGGGGGTAGGGGGGGGGTCGAAGACAGCTTGTTACAGACACGGGAAAAAGATAGTTTCATGATTTTGTGTGTGGGTCTTATTATGAGAAGAAAGATACTGGAACATGTTGTGAGCACTGGAAAGATCTGGAAAATGTGAGGAGATTCTTGACAGCCTTTTGTCATGGCACAGGCTGATATCAGCCCATGAACTGTTAAAGATTGCAGATTGTAGAGAGGCATGATTGCCCAAGCCAGTCGGCAAGGCACTTGATGATGAGACCCAATTGCAGTCCATTGAGTTATATTAAAGACATTATGATAAGTTTGTACACATCTGATTTCAGCAAGTCTTTAATTAGTCACCGTTAATGACATGCTTATCAAAGGGCAGTAGGTTTAGTCCGCCCCCCCCCCCCCCCCCCCCATGGGGGGGGGGGGGCACTAACCCACAGGGGAGCAAGAGTGCGTCCGCTAGAGAGATGAGGAACGAGTAGTCTGTATAAAAACGGGTCAAAACTGTAAAGTGGATTTTCTTGGAAAACTCAAGTTCTGAAACAAGACTGAGGTCCAGAAGGGGTTAAACAACCAGAACTTTTCTGTCAGAGTTTACAGCCAGTTAATGTGAAAAAGTTCTACATAGTTTGGAGGTTTGCTTCAAATCAGTGGGAATTTCATCTTGTAAAATTGTGTGAAAAAACCTTACAGTCGCAATGTGGATCATCAGCCTCATTGAAAAGGGGAGGGGGAGTTCAAGCATGTCCTTAAAGGAGACTAATTGGGGTTTCGCTGAAATCAGTTGTGTTGGGCCAAAATGCTCTGTTATTAAAAGTGATTAGATTATGTCCAATGATTGACCCATATCATTTTACAAAGCTGGCAGTACTTTTAGCTGCAGATTTTATGTTTTTTTTAAAATCTGATTTTGTCTGTCTTTATTCTGTCAAATCTATAAATTAACAGATCTGTAAAAGTAAAAGACACTATTTCTATGCCTTAAAGTATATGGGGGCCTGCACTGTCCATCTGGTATTTTTTATAATCAAATTGGCATTTTATGAATGATATGGTCAATTTCCTAGTGCAGCTTTTATGTACTAAAACATTTTTCGGACACTCTTGTTAAATGTTATTCTTAACTCTATCCTTTTTTTTTGGAGTTTAAAATCCATTTAAATACCTGAAACTATTTATGATAGGATATTTTATTACTTTATTTTTAATTCACCTCAAACAAAAAAAATCTGGAGTTCCGGGTAAAGTCAAATATTCTAGTGGTGTTATGGGTTGGGAATAAAGTTCTGGTTAGTCGGTGTCTCTGAGTCAGTCAGAGCTGATAAAGAAAGATCCTACCCCCAACCTACTATAACAACCATAGAATTTAAGACGGGGGGGCCTCCAGGATTTACTTTGTTTTGTTTGGGGTGAATTAAAAATAAAGTACTAATATTTTTTCTCTTTCAGAATGTATTCACTTTTCTGGTTTATACATAATGTGAAATGGCAATTAACTAACAGAAGTCGAGGGTACAAGAATTGGGTGACCAAACAAACCGACAATTGATAATAAAACTAGGAAAAGTGCAGATTTTTCATGATTGACTTTGGTTCCTAGGCCGACTTAGTCTAAAATGGTTACCAGAAATATCATGGAAAGTAGTATTAGCTGACATGATGTTAACCACATCACCATCAAATACTGATTCTTTCCTTTGTCTGTTTTCTGCTTTGTGTGGCTAGGTGTCGCAGGTCAGCAGATGATTGGTTTCTGAGCTAGGGCATGCTTGGTTGCCTGTTATGCTGTGAATTTTTTTGTCCTCTGCGTCTTGGCACTTCTTCTTTTATGTTGTACACTCTTTTTGCTAACATCATTTGGTTCATTCTCATTACATGGCCAGATCATTTCAGTCTTCGTTTTTCAATGAATAATTATAGGCATTGTTCCAACAGTTCTTGTAATATCTTTGTTTCTCACATGAGATCTCTTCTCATCTTGTTCGTGGTTTTTCTCAAACATCTCAGTTCGCAGATGATTAGTTTTCTATTGTTCTTTAGTCACTGTTCAAGTTTGACACTGATAGCACAAGGTTAGTGCAAAAATTGCATTTATAATTTGTATTTTTTCAATCACTACCTGGATAGTCGGATGTTTTAAAATTGGGGTCACTTGATACGTGGTATTGCTGGATTCTTGTTTCAGTCTCTGCCTATTCTGCCATCATATGTAACAATGCTCCCTAAGTATTGAAAGTGTCACAACTTTGGTCTTTTATCTCTATGTCGATTCTTTGATGTTCTCTTGCTATGTCTTCTGCTTTTCAGTGTTAATTTTCATATTTTATCTGAGGCAGCTGTTGTGTAGTTGGTTTATTTGGTCCTGTAGCTGATTAACTTAATTGTTGAAGTGGTGCTGGTCGTCAGCAAATAGAACATTTCCTGTTCATTCCAGCTTGAGTTATTTTTGTTGATATTTTCCATGAATATGATAAGAAGCAAAGGTGATATAACACATCCTTGTCTTACTCTCCTGATGTTACTGGAAACCTATCTGTAAGGCCAGCTCTGGTTCTAAATGCACTTTTACTTTCTTTATAGATGGCTCTAGATACTGATTGATCAATCAAATAAAGAGTCTAGCACTGCATACCCGCGGACATAAGAACTATCCTTTACTTTCCTTGACTTTATATACAGTGAAATGCTGGTCAGTGTATAGCGAAAGAAAATATTCTTCTTTCTCTTCATGTTAGTCGGCTGTAAACTCCGGCAGAAAGTTCTTTTTGTTCATCCACTACTGTTTTTGAACCTGAGTGTTTCGTGCACATCCATTTTACAGATCTGACTTATCTGTTTGTAGACTGTTGATTCCTTTCCTCTCAGGCAGGTGCACTCCAACTTTGAAGGAAGCTCCCAGTTAGTCGACTCTAACAAGATGCTTTTGAGTAGCCAGTGGGTCTATTCTTGTTTTCTCTACAAATGGGGTCCAGAACCCACACAAACCTGTACAGCATGCTTTTTAGAGGTTGTGGGTCTTTTCCTTTTTCTCCACAAAAATTCAGCCCTAGAGCCCTGATTGGAGAATGACAAAAATAAAGAGTGCATCAAAAAGGGCATTAGCCTCTGATTTATTTATATAGTTAAAGTTTGTAATTTATAAAAAAAAAAAAGATTGCTACCAAAACTATCATTGTTTGTTTCTCTACTTTGCCCTTGTAAAAGAAAACTAATTTCATTTAGTGGTCTGATGTTTTTGCAGGAGTTTTAAATGGAAATAATGTTGCTAACTTGGAAGATGAAATAGCAGGAATGGTACCATTGGCGCATAGTTACATTTCATTACTGTTTTGGTTAACAGAACTTCACGTCTGCCAAACAGGTCCGACGAACAAAATCATCTCTTGATAGCCAGCGTTCAGTTACCAAATGATGATGCTCAGTTTGATGCTTCACATTATGACAGTGACAAAGGTGGTAAGTGATTTGATAAATGGCTGAACCCTTGTGGGTTCTGGGCATTTTATGTAACATTGATGCATAACTTTGTTTAATATATCTTTGTTACAGATTTGCACGATTGCTTCTTACTGCTTTGACTCTGTTGAATTACTGCATACTCCGCTGATTCTGTTGAATTTAGCTTCTGTAATCACGCAAAAATCTCTACTTGGGTGATGAGATGTCAAAATCACCAAGAGATAAGATGCCTGAAAAAATCTGGCAACCTAACCATCTGAAAAATGAAGGAATAATTATGCTATCAAATTTTGGGAACAACACTTTGTACAGATTCATCAAGAAACAGCAGATCAAATGATTTGGTTATCTTGTTAGAATGCAGCATCAAATACCATAGCAGGCACTACATCTCATAAGATCAGAAAAAAAAAAGAGAAAGAGGACGGCTGCAAGAAATATAGATTAACAAAATTAAAGAAGCTTTACGCCTTCACGGCATGCCAGTGCCAGCCAGTATGCACTGATTGCAGTTTATTTCTCCCCAAGTCGCCCAACGGCAGAAGCCGTTTACGATGATGATGATTGGGTCTCCACGGTTTTTAAAAAAAAGAAGTTAATTCTGAGCTGTCTCCACAATGAAGGTTGGCTAGAGTGCACCCGCTGCTGTCTTTGAGAATATTATATAGTGAGGCCCCACTTTCTTCCATGGTGTGACTCTCTCTCTTATTTAAGACCGTGAGAGTGGTTTAAAAAAAAAGACTGTCAGCTGCAGAAATTGAATCCTAGTGCTTGAGGAGCATTAAATAGTTAAACACATTCACCTACCTGTAAGCCGCAGTCTCTACATTGGTTGGTTGTTGCCTCCTGCTCTAAAGGTTGTGGATTTCTTCTTCATCATCATGCTTACCAGCTGTAAACAAGGCAGAAAGTTCTGGTAGTCCCCACCTCCCCCCGGCAGTATTCTTATTCCAGAACCTGAGTGTTGAGTGCACATTTGTTTTACAGATTTTACTTGCTTGTATGCAGATTGTTGGTCCTTGCCTCTCAGGCAGATGCACTCCAACTGCGAAGAAGCCCCACAATTAGTGGAGTCTTACGACTTGCTTGTTGGGAAAGGCAGTGGGCCTGTTCTTGTTTCTCCCTCAATGGGGTCCTGGAACCCACACAGGTAGTTTGTGGGTTTGATTTTGGACTTGGTTGTTCAGATCATGAGGCAACTGTTTTGGGGTTGTCTCTGGAACTGTGAAGTTCATGCTTCGTATGTCACTTTCGGCAGGGGGCATCTACTCTGTGGCGAGCAAGAGTCATAAGCGAGTATATCCAGTGCCGTTAAGGCCTTTATTTAAATCATTTTAAATTTCATCATGTTCTTCGTTAATTCTGCTCACTTAATTTATGTATGTGATGAATATTTTATATGGCTAGTGGTCATAGCACTTAAAGCTGTAATCTGTGTTAGATTTGTGTGGAAATCTGTTAGTTGTTTAAGTATATTAATATACTGATATGCTCTTACAGCATCTGTAGCTTAGGGGTTGCGAACCTGCTTTGTAATACAGAGGTGCCAGGTTCGATCCCAGCTGCAGGCGATTTGGCAGCAATTCATCTTGCCCTGGTTTCTACAGGGGTACAGAGAGCTGACCTTTCAGAAGCAAACAACAGACTACTCAACATAAATTTGCTGAGGAAAACTACAAAAGCCAAAAAATTGCTGGGGCAACATTCTGTAAAGGGCTTCTTTGTAGATGATTCTGTCAGCCTGAATACTTTTGTGGCATGAAAGAAAAATTGATATAACTGCTGTACAGCTGTAAATGTACAAGCAATAATTAACCCAGTAGAAATTATATGAGTTAGCTTTACTAGAAGATTGTATAAAGAACCTATGGGACAGCAAGTGCAGTGCGTTACAATGAAAATTTAAGATTGTGCATCTTTACTGTTGCTTTTGTGTTTGACTCATATAGACTCTTACTCAGAGATGTAAATTTGCTTGGGAGTTTTTGAACTAAAACACTAACAGAAAAAATTCTTAAAATACCATGGACCAAAAAGAAGAAAAACACCAACATCCTACATGATCTGAGCATTGTGGAGAATTGGCTCAAACAGCATCCTGTTGAACAGAATAGACTCACAACCCCCCCTAATCAGGTATGACTTAGGAAGAACTGCTGTCGCTAGGAAATCTTCCACAATTGGAGCCTATGATTTCATGACCATTGTTGCCATTATATCTATTAAAGTATTTAATGTGCTTCTGATTCACTCAGTTCTCCATGTGGGTGTCGGGGTCCCATTCAGGAGGGAAAAGAACAGACCCACGGCCCCTTGATATGCATGTTGTAAAAAGCATCTGTTTAGTGATGTTCCTTTGAGATCGGAGTGCCTCTGCTTGAAGGATGAGAAACCAAGAGTCTGCATACATATAATCCAAAACTATAAAAAGGTTGTACATGCATTACTCAAGCACTGAAACTAGTGGGGGACAACCAGAAATTGCCACCATAATTTACAGCCTTGCTTGATTACACAATTTACGCAAAGAAGTCTGGTACCCGTTTAAGACGAGAGATGACCCCAGACCTTTCAAATCTATAAGGAAATTCCCACATTTACAGAGGGATTTGAGCCCAAGAACTTTGGTGTGGCAGGTAAGTTTTCTAGTGACTAAACTGCTTGATCTTTTGAATAAAAAAAAAATTCTTCCAAAACGGGCCTGTGTTTTCACGTTATTCCATAAACCCTTGTTTACAAACTGCTTGCGGTCTGTTTCAGAATTTGGCGGGTTCGGATCAGTCAGTGGCAAAATTGAAATTGAAATTAAAATCAACCATGAAGGGGAAGTAAATAGGGCCCGCTACATGCCACAGAACCCCTGCATTATTGCAACGAAGACACCATCGAGTGATGTTCTAGTATTCGATTACACAAAGCATCCATCGAAGCCAGGTAGAGTACACTTGTGGGTCGATTTTGTTTTGTCCACAGTTCGTCAATATCTTTTAGCCTAAAGTCCATGCCTGTCTTATGTGCTGCCAGTTATTAACAGAATGCCAAACTGTCTTAACCCTTTTGACCTGAGAAGCTGGAAAAAATATTAAACTTCAGGTCTGGTTCCCTGAAAATGTCATTTTTTACGACTTGCCGCTCATGACGTGTTTAAGAGATATATAGTTAATTCAGTTGGTTGGGTTCGCTCCATTTAGGAGGTCGGATATTAATAAATTAGGTAATTTATAGGGGGTTTTCCTTTGTGCTAAATGGCTTTTCTAAAGCCACAATGATGTCAGGTTTTCTTTTGAGTGTCACAATACATGGGTGTTTTAGGGAGTGCGGGTGGAAGGGCGGATGCTGTTATTCAGATTTAATGCTTCACCTCTTTCATTTTTATTATTTACTCCTTTCATATACTTCATATTGGGGGAAAAATTTTTTTTCAAATTTTGGTAAGTACATCTTTAACAGATTTATCTGTGACCTGTGTAAATAATATTGTTTTTATGGATATTTTTCAGGAATTCTAACGGGGTCATGGCTTTTTTTTGTCTCCTGGCGAAAGGGTTAACATCTCCTTAGGGGGTTTTAAAGCTTAGATTTTACTGCAGCTCTCTCGTCCTTCTGCTCTCTTTCTCTCTCTCTTCTATCTTCCTCCCCCACTATTTCCTATCTCTTTTTTTTAAAAACTCTGTTCTACCCCTCCTCTTTTTCTCTCAAGTATAAAAATGTATATTTTTGTTCATGAGAACAATAAAACATCCCCTTGAAAATAGACCCTAAAGTGTATTTTGCAGCAGACATTATAAAAAGACCCTGTCTTATTTTCAGCGTACACTATAATTTACCTATATATAGTTTCTGCTGAGAAATGTAATGGATGTTACAGTATATACATTCGAGTAAAATTGCTTACATATACTTTCAGATCCCAGCGGAGAGTGTATCCCAGAGCTTCGCTTGAAAGGCCACCAGAAGGAGGGGTATGGTTCACATGATTTTTATCTTATTATTATTGTTGCATAAATATTGCTAGCCCGTGGTTATTATTCCACAGAAGAGGATCAAATATTGTTGCCAACTGCCCGATAAGTCTTGTGAAAAACCCATGCGAGTTCCTGGACCCCATTTTCCTTTAACTGGCCTGTCGAAAAAAGCGACCCAAGGATTTGATGCGGTTGGATGTCTTGGGCTAAAAGGCGCAGATATCTCAACAAAATGTGCCCTGAAAAGGCACACAGCTTAGTGCACTTTGTTTATTGAATCTGCAGTGTCCTGTGCATAAGCTCAAAACAGTTGCTTTGTCAGTTCTTTTTTTGTGTTGAAAGGAATAGATTCCAACCATTCCTCAATCAGGGATGTCATAAAAGGTGACTGCTTAGTGATTTTTTCTTCAAAGTTGCAGTGTATCTTGGTCTTTCCCTGATGCCACTGATTTCAGACACCACAAATTTATAAATTGATTCAGTTTACATTAGACAACGGGAGTTGCCGTGGCGGACCAGAGGGTCGTGGGTTCGCTCCCTGATGGAGCCGGACTTTTAAAAAAAGTGACCTGGGCTCCCAGGTCCAGCCTTGAATGGGTACTAGGTGCAGTCCCGGGAAGTAAAGGTGGCCGGCGTGATACTGACCACATACCCATCTTGTGCCGATGGGTATAAAAATATAGGTCTAACCCTATATGTCTAAAGGCGTGGACAAGGGTCCTTTGCTTACTTTTTAACTTACATTAGACAACAAATATGGTATGTCCTGGACTCAGGGAGACGGGCATTAGGTGGATCTAGGCCTTAAGTGAGCATTAGGATTGTCCCTGATGTGGCTGTTGACTGCTGTTTAGACTTTAAGATAAATGTGAGTCCACTGCGATTGTCCAGTGTATCAGTAGAGTTAGAAAGTTCCTTTACATTTATCATATCTGAACATTTAATCATTGCATTCAACATTCTAACAGATATGGTTTGTCTTGGAATCCAAATCTGAGTGGACACTTGCTGAGTGCATCAGATGATCATGTAAGTAGCCTTTATACTACCTCACTTGTTCTTCATTGTGATGTATGTAAATAGTGAAAAAAAAATGTAGAAATAGGGAGGAGAATACTATGGGGGAAAAAAAGTTAGCCAATTGTAGCTGTAACTAAAGCTATTTGAAGTCATAGAAGTTTATATTGGCCAAACATCACTTGTAGTTTTTTAACAACCGAGTTAAACACATCTTTTATGTGCATTTTCTGTCATTAATTTTTTGTTTCTTGTCCTTGGTACTTTTCAACTTGTCCAAAGACCAAACACATTTCTAACTGCTTTTATCACACATGGTTCTTACACGGAAGCATTATATCAGAATTGTAAGTTTTACTGCTTTTGTCCTGTAGTGATATATTTTGCCCGGTGTGCTATGTTGATTTTTAATTTATAAATCAGTGTTGTATAGGTTTGTTTTCTCTTGTCTGATGATGAATGCTTGTCGCAGCATCCATTATATGTTTTTGTATTTTTACAGCTTTATTGCAGTCCAGCCTAGAGATTGATATAGTTGTATTTAATACCTGTTAACTAACTGTAACCCGTTAGAAAAATTTGTCATTGGTATTTATTTGCTAGAAAATTGTTAACTAGTGTTAGAAAGCTGAATTATTATTAAAACTGGAAGGCGACGAACCAACAGTCTGCTGGCCAAATAGCCAGATCTGTCAAACTGACCTGCACACCAATCTCAAATTCAACAAGACCAAGGTCCAGACATGGAGAAAGACCCAGAGTTTTGCGCTGGAGTTTAAAGCCAGTGAACACGTAGAAGATGTTACCTTAGAAAATTGTTAGCTAGTAAAAGTTGTTTGTTGCTAGATGTCTCAGTGGAAAGATCTCTGACTATTGTTGCTCATGTGCCCCAACTTTGCTGTATTTTTTAAGAACACAGAAATTTCATGTTTTTCCATTAAATTTATTCCACTCAGACAATTTGCTTGTGGGATGTGAATGCAACTCAACGACAAGAGCGTGTTGTTGATGCCATGACAGTTTTCACAGGACATACGTCTGTAGTTGAGGTTTGTGTACTATAAATTTGTTTTCCAGCAGAATAATTTGTTTCTATTCCTTTGTATACACATTTTTTGTTGAACTATCATTTGAATGTATTGATTAATGCACCCACACACATACACACACAAGTAAAAAATAGATTTCTGTTGGAACATGATAGCTTGTCACTTTTGCTAGCCCAGCTGATAAAATTTTCAAGATGTTGTCTAAACGTTTTTTCTCTTCAAACTGAGTAAATTAAGCTCAAGTCAAGAAGCTAAATGGTTACTGGTCATCACTTGTAGGCATAGATTCTTGTCTTGTCCTTGTTATGACAGTTATGGCAAGAGCCTTCCTTACTTACTTACTTAGTCGCTCCTCTTCCACCTTTGGGTGTAGAGGTTTGCCAGAGAGATCGCCAGACATCTTTTCCATTCCAGTCCTCTGTCAGTTAGGGACTGTCGGATGTTGTCTTCCCAGTGGACCCTGGGTCGCTCTCGAGGTCTGGTTCCCTGGTTCTTAGCCTCCCATGCCTGCCATGCTGGCTGATTTTCTCCCATTCTGCATTTATGTCCAAACCATCGTAACTGGTGTGACAAGAGCCTTGCTGCATAACTTATCAGTTTGCTGGCAGTCACCCACTCTCTAATGGATTAACTACTGAGGAGATCACAGCAACTATGGACATGTCCAGATTTCAGTGATGATAAACCCAATTCAACATTAAAAACACTTTTATAAAGACAGAAAAAGAAGACAGATAATTTGGTTCAGGAAATTTTCGCTATTTATTTCACATCTGTGAATATTTCATTTTTATTTTTTTCTTATTCCTATTGTCGGTAAAAGTACATGTGTGACTTTCATTGGATAGATTAGCTAGAATTCATCTCTTTAATGGCCTTGCGTATCTGACTACCTGCCCACCTTTCTATATAAGCTCATCTACACACCTTCATCTTCTGTCCTTTGTCTCTCAGCAGAGCACAGGCCCCCAACCAGTTCATGCCTTGTTGTCCATTCTTTGCTATTGCTTGTAGCTCAGACTTGCATTTTAAAAATCGTGACAAGCGGCTGTGCTATTTTTCAATGGCTGTGATTTCTCTTGGATTCTGTTCCCTACCTTGGACTGCTATTTTATGCTCATTTTCAACGCAAATTACGGTGTTTCTCATAGGAGCAACATGTATTGTGGTTCTGCTATGTCAGAGCAGGATAATGATCGATAGATGTGGCAGCCTCGACCATGCTGCCTTCTCATTGTTTTGATCGCCGTGGCCCACTTTCCAGGAAGAAAAAATCCCATCAGCTGGTGAACACACACTGTTAAGAGGGCGAACTCCATAACAGATGTCCCCTGAAATGGAATGAGTCAACCATTTTTTTCAGTGGGGAGGAATGGTACATACGGTTAACTCACTGGCCTGTGTCTGTGGTCTGCCGTTATTTAAGTAATTCCATAAGGGTTCTGAAATAAAGATATTCTGTTCATACTGTTCTCTGGTTTTCTCGGCATGTTTCCTTTCCAACACCAGACTCTTTTCTTTACTTTATTCACTTTAATTTGTTTTTTCTTTCTCAAAGTTCTACATTAGTGATTCTCTCTTACCATTTAATTTCTTATATTACTTGCAAGCACCACTCAATGAATGTTTGTAGTTTTTTAGTATACAGAGTAGTTGTTTTACATGTTTCAGCTCCATACAACGGTACTAATTTGACATCAAAGCTAAATGTTATGAGTTTGGTTCTAGTGTTTACATGCCTATCCTTCTATATAACACGTCTTCCTGCTTACCTTTTTATGTAAGCCTGTCTACTTATCTGAGTGCTCACCATGTGGTTTCAAGGGCCTTATTGTGGCAGGAAAAGAAAATAGCCTCACTGCCCCCTAACAAGCATGTAGTACTAATGAGAAAAATGTTTTCTGCAAGGTTTGAGTACATCTGTCTTGGAGGCCAGGAACCAGCAGTTTGCATACAAGTAAGGCATATCTGATGTGCACACAAAACTCAGGTTCCGGAACAAGACTAAAGTTCAGAAGGGAAGAAACAACCAGAACTTTCTGCCAGAATTTACAGCCAGTGAACACAAGATTTTAGTGCACCGTCTTATCGGGAATTAATCCATGCTCTTTCTCTCTGCCCTCACTTAGAAGCTGCATTTGTTCTGTAGCTAGCACAATACTTGTTGTCCTTGTGGACGCATGTCCAAATTTCCACGAAGGCGCAGATCTTCTAGCAGGTTGAACCAGATAATAATGGTACCAGGAAATGTTGTGGGAAGTATAAGTGTCCACTATATTTACATCATTCCCTAAGTGTCGGTTTGTTTATGAAAATATGAGACCATCACCATGTATCCATTATGCCATCGAAAAACCTCTTTCACTTAAAGAAATATACTCAGTGTTTAGTTGTGTTTTGAACAATTGAAGGAGAATCAATACTGTTTCTAGGATGTGGCTTGGCACTTACTTCATGAAAGTCTTTTTGGATCTGTGGCAGATGATCAGAAGCTTATGATGTGAGTATATTATATATTTTTTGGGTGTCTGTAAATGTTTATTATTCAGAGTATCCTTATTTTAGATTTAAAACAAGTACATATAATGCATATCGTGCGAGCTGTAGTCACTAGAAGCTCACACGCCTGATTGAAGGTCTTGGGTTCAAATCATCAAGTCATATTATTTAAAAAAAAAGGGCTCAGGTCGGCTCAGCATAAAATTGGGTAAGAGGTAAAGTCCTGAGAAGTTAGGGTGGCTGATGTGATGTTGACTGCTTCACACATTGAATGTTGATGTTTCCTTCAAAAATACAAGTTTAACATTATATTCTGCATTTACGTGGTGAGAGGATTTAATGCCATATAGAAGCAATCATGGCACAGTGATTGTGATCACATGCGTGAGATAAAGTTAAGGCCATTGAGATGTGTATAAGCAGATATTCCATGCCTCACCTCGGGCACTAGCAGGTTCTGTCTGCACTGTGATGTCAGGCGCTTAACACTTCCTGACATCCTAAACCAAAATCCTCTTCGTGTTCACCGGCTGTAAACTTTTTGCTTTGTGGAAAATTTTGTTCACCCAGTCTTGTTCCAGAACCTGAATGTTGCCTGTAAATCCGTTTTACAGATCTGACATGTATATGCAGATTTTTGTTTCCTTGCCTCTCAGGTAGATGCACTCAGACTTCGAAGAAAGCCCTTAGTTTAGCTGACTTTTCGGACATGCTTGTTGGGGAGGCAGCTGGTCTGTGGTTGTTTTTTTTTCTCCTCCACAACGGGGCTCGGAACCCGCAGAGGGAACAATAATATTAATTGATTACCAAAAAAACTGGCATGAATTTATTATTTCTATCCCACTTTTAAGGTTTTCATTTGAAACCCCCTTGTCCTTTTCTATTAGATGCTCTTCTCCTGCTATATAGTGACATAGTCAGTCTACTGTTGATTCTTCTAGCTGGGACACACGATCAAACAATACAAACAAGCCAAGCCATACGGTGGATGCTCATGCTGCAGAAGTGAACTGCCTCTCTTTCAACCCTTACAGCGAGTTTATTCTGGCCACAGGATCAGCAGATAAGGTGTGTTTGTTTGGGTGTATCATTAAAAAAAAAAGGAAGTAGATAGTGAAGCCTCTTTAACTGAAGTACAGATTCAACAACAATCAAACACAGCTGACTGTTTAACCAGGGCAGCCTGCAGCATCTAAATCAACAAGCCACTGCAATTCGTTACCTCCGCCCTGAGCTTTGTGAGAAAGAAAAAAACAAATCAGACACCCGGCTGCCCTGGTAAAACAGGCAACTATTTTTTTTCCATTGTAATTGAATTTGTACTTCATTTATAGAAGATTCACTTATCTGCTTCATTTATGTAATTGTTACTGTTGTATGCCCCTGACGAGATACAGTGAAATATGCCAGGCAATCAATTGTGCAGTCTATTGTTTGTGTATCCTTTATTGAAGAAATGGAAAATGATGCATGACAAGTTGGATATGGTCAACAATCTTTAGGAGTAAGTCAACAGTCTGGTCTGGTTTTTTCAACATGGTCTGAAAAAATTTGTGGCATCAGGGAGTGACTAGGGGATCTGACCGACACTCACTAAGTGAAAATGTAATACAAAACAAGTTTAGCCGTGACCACTTACAGCTAGGGTCAGAAAACATTGCTGCTCTCTGCACCTATTTCGCTATATTTGTGGTTAACTCTTTGAGTCCCAAGGAAAGCATCATACGTTTATTGGTTACTGCCTAGAAGCCTAATGAACGCATGATACACCAATTTTAGTCTGTTTTGACTACCTCTTGGGCCTATGATGCTAAACCCTCTGGGACTCAAAGAGTTAATGGACGGGCTGTCATTGAATCAGGTGTTTGTGTACAGGAAAAATGCAAGGTGGGCTACAATTACACTGCTCTTAGTACTATGGGAATCGGAAGAAATTATAAGCTGGCTGCTGAAGATAGAAACAGAGTGCTTATGTAAATGGGCTTATTTGTTTGCAACTTTGAAGAAAACTTTGATCCTATTGACTTTATGCTGTCAGTGCTAGATGTTGTCACTCTCAACAAAACATAAATGAAAATTAGTAACCATGGAAATGTATCAGAGAAAGACTTTAGTAGTGACCAGATGAGATAAAACCAGATATGAGGACATACAAGATAAAATCGGCACAGAACCGGTTCTAAATTACATACAAACACCACAAATCAAATGGTTTGCTTACTTGGAGAGAATGCCTTATGATGCTATACCATACAAGACATATACGAAAAGAGGAGGACGTAGAGCAAGCGGTAGACCAACAACATGATGGAAAGATAAAATCAGAGAAACTACAGCACTACGATGTGTCTGTGGTCGAAGCAGCCAGAAGAGCACGAAGCAGGACCGTATATATCCCTCGGCACCTGAAGCGGTAAAAGAGGATATAGAGAGGAAGAAGAAGAATTTTGAAGACTCCCATTTGAGAACCTGTTTCTAGGATGACCGCGAAGTGATGTACATAAATCTTGATCAGTATAAAGTCCACACTTGGAATATGGGCCAACTGCATGGTGTTCAGCATCTAGTACCACATTAAAGGAGTTGAACAAAGTGCAAAATCAAGCGCTCAGAGTCATCACAGGAGGGATGAAATCAATCCCCATATTAGAAATGGAGAAAGCTAGGAAAACACAGGCTCTGAGAGAACGCTGAGATACAAAGTTGCAAATACAAGCTGAAAAGTTCATCAGCATGCCAGATCACCTGATGAAAAATAGATTTAAGAACCTAGCCTTGGGACGGTTAAAAAGAAGCAGTTTTATACACCAAGCAAAATGAATATGTAGACAAACTACTGACCTTCCAGAAATTGGTTGCCCACTTAAAAGTATTCCAGAACAAACCCCATGGATACAAATCCAAACAAATGTGAAAGGGATATTTGACAAGAAAGAGCACGATAGTGTACAACGCAGAATGGCCACCCTCAGTTATATTGATGAAGAATACCCACAAGAACAATGGGTCAGAATCTATACAGATGGGTCAGCACAAAGTGCAGTTAGAAATGGTGGTGCTGGAGTGTACATAGAATTCCCAGATGGTACTAGGGATAAGTCCAGCGTACCAACCGGAAAATACTGCCATAACCTTGATGCAGAAACTCAAGCTATCAAGATAGCAACAGAGAAACTGCTAAATACCAATCTTGGCTCACAGTATGTGGTAATGCTAACAGATGCTAAATCCGTACTTGAAGCACTCCAGTCTAGAAAACTACCAGAATTGCAAACACTGCTGACACAACTTAGCCTTCAAAGAAGACTCGTAATGCAGTGGATACCATCTCATTGTGGAGTGCCTGGAAATGAGAAAGCTGATCAACTGGCAGGGGAAGGTGCGACAAAAGTGCAGCCGGATGTACCAGTCACATACCACCAAAAGAAAAAAATCATTAAATCGATCAGGAAACCACCAGCCCCAGCACAAGACGACTATTTTATTATGGACAGACCAGAAGAAGTCATTATCCTCCGCCTCAGAACAGGGCACAACCGATTACGTAACCACATGTACACAAAATTCAAGATAGGCGTATCAGCCATGTGCACCTGTGGAAAGGTGCCCCAGACAGCAGAGCATGTACTCCAGGACTGCACCGAATTTGACACAAACCCTTTGGCCAGAAAAAAACAACAGTGGAACGTAAACTCTATGGACCACTGAATGAACTAACAATGACAGTGAAATTTATATGAGAGACAAAACTGCTGATATAGGCAACTTATTTCAGTAAAACGAAAGAAGAAGAAGAACAAGTCCTGGTTTCTAGTGTACTGCCACCGTATGAGAGTGTTGCAAAGTTAATCTTATGTCTTTTTTTGTTACTGTTTTCAGACTGTTGCATTATGGGATCTGAGGAACCTGAAGTTAAAACTTCATTCTTTTGAGTCACACAAGGATGAAATTTTCCAGGTTAGCTATCATGTGATCTGAATGTGCCAGGTTTATGTTAGGAGGGAGGAGGGACTTTGTTCTACTATCAAGATGAGTTACTGAAATAGTCTTCACATTAACTTTTCCCCCAGGGCTAGGGGTTTAAAAAAAAAGATACCATTACTTCGCCATAAAAGTGTCAAAAATGTGCTGGCACTCACCAGAAAGTGTCTGCCACAGTAGTGATAAAAACACCTTAAATAAGTTCCTGTTCTGCTTGCCAGGGAGAGGTTGGGGAGAGACTTCTTTAACTGTACTCTTTGCCTACTTGTTTCTTAGTCAGCTCAAACAGGGCCAGCCGATTTTTTTGCCAGCTTTTTTTTAAATGTCTTTACCATTTTAATTCATCTTGTCTCTCTAATTTTCTTTCACCATGATTTAGGTCTCCATCTGTTTTGAGATAAGTATCTATTCAAGTGGGACATGAATGATATATGTATTGAGGTGGATTCATGGGAACAGGATGACATGGATCGTGTTTCATGGAGGTGCATAGTCAAGAAGGGATAGGGATATGGGAGAAAATGATTGCATATAGGTTCTTTCAGGCACATGGATTTTGACAGACTTGGCTCCCATTAATTTCCCTTTTAGTAGTGTTAAAAAAATAAAGAATGTAATGTATCGCTATTCCCTACAAAAGTATATATATTTTTTAAAGAGGACTGAATGTACATTTCGAACCTGATATTTTGTGTTTAATGCTGTTATAGTTAGAAAAAATTCAGCAGGTGTTATTTTTACAAAGACAAAATGTGAAAAATGTTCACTTACCATGGTTTTGTAGCCGCAAGAGCAGTGAAAATCCAAACTTAAGAATAACACTTTAAAGCTTGTTCAATTTCCCGACAAGTTCAAAATTGTTGATAGGTTTCTTAGTTTAGCACTCAGAGGCTCTAGGTTCCTATAGAGCGCTGAACACAATTGAAAATAAAAATGGCCAGATTTACAAAAACAACTTTGTACATTTATATACAAACTGTAGCTGCAATGTATTCTTTGCCAGCTTAGTCATAGCATGGTACTGTTTAAAACAGTCCTTTGGTTGCTGACATCATCATCATCATCATCATCAAACCACCAAACAAGTAATAAATATAAGCAGTACTGGCAACTTAAAAAGAAGTTTGAGCAAAGAGGGCACAAACTTTAGATTGCACAATTTATTTCACATCATTATCTTCCCGTAACACTACGTGTCGTTGGGTCACCAGTTTCTCTTGACTGTCTGATCAGCTCTTTCCACCTTTGGCGGTCAGTTGTGATGGACTTTCTAGTTGCATGCCCGAGGCCTGTCCAGTCAATCAGGTTCTGTAACTAGGTCTTTCGTGGTCTGCCTCTTCTCCTCTTTTCCTCTACTGGTTGCTGAAATGGATGACTGTAACATCTTTCACAAATGAAGTGGGCCCTCTTGGGTTTAGCTCATCAAAACTGCAAGTTTATCTAACAGCTGATCGCTTAGCTGCCGCTGAAGCTCTGAAACTGTTTATGTCAGATGTTTTTTTTTAAAATTCTGAAAATGATCATAAAAACTTACATTTTTTGGAAAGTGACTCAAGCGGTGAAATGGCACCAACAGCAGCTATAAATTTCTGCTTATTTTGCGGCCTGTGCTTGTGTTCTGAACATTAGTGTCCATGGCTAGTCGGAGAAAATTCACTGTCGGAAAATGACGTTAGCAGTGAATAAATTTGAGCCTGAATGTATGAACTAATAATTATAAATAAACTAATAACTTTCCCTAAAATATTTCAATGGTAGTTCTGAACATTTAAAGTGAATACAGAGCAATATGCGAATCAGTTTATATGGGACACAATTGATGCAGACTGTGGTTTGGTCAGATCGGAACTTCTCAATCAACACACACACAGCGATGCTCGGGCCTGAAAGTTAAGAGGTGAGCATCTGAGAAGGGCCTTAAATATACGGTTGCAATAGATATTCCGAAATCTCATCCTCTAATTGTGGGAGGCTTTTCTTGACAAGAGTGGGTCTTGCTGGTTCACTCACCGTTGCCACGGGCTGGGTTTCTCATGCCTCCCTAAGGCACAGTAAGTATAACACTACCATTTGGAAGGAAGGACGAGTGCCAATAGCCAACCAGTTTTTCAAGCGGAGCCATATTTCAGCTCTAAATGACTGTTTCAAACACTACCCTACTATGACTAAGCTGCACTGAATACAATCTGTACAAAGTTAATATTTTGTGCGTAAGTATAAATGAAAATTGTGTAATCATTGCTCTTTTTAGATTTGAAAATGAGAGAGATTGAGAGAGAAAGAGAGAGAGAGAGAGAGAGAAAAATAAAAAAAAAAGATGGTGGTAGGGTGTTGCCAGTTAACTTGTTGACTTCCTTAATTATGACCTATTTCTTTCTCTAACATGCTGAATGATTTTCTCCGAAAATTATAGGTCCAATGGTCACCACACAATGAAACAATCCTTGCTTCAAGTGGAACAGACAGGCGACTTCATGTCTGGGACCTCAGGTAAGATCTCTTCAAAACTAAATGCAGCACTCCTTCACTGCTCACTCCCCTCCCCCTACACACCCCCCCCCCCCCCCCCAAGTTTCACCTAGTAGTTATTCGTGTTTGAATGCTTTTTTTGGGTACTACATAAGTAGGTTAAAACATTGATGATATAATTTGGGTTTAAGTAATACTTTTTCAGAATATTAAATTTTTTATTTAGTTTATATTTTAATAGGGGTGATATAACATGCTGGTAATTTCACCCACCTTTTATCACACTGATTGCTTAAAATCACATGTAAACAGAGTGATAATTTAACTTAGAGTGATAATTTAACTTATTTACTTTCACAGAATTCCCTGTGTGGGTTCTGGGTTTTTCCATTGTGGGGGAAACCCCAGCCTCAAATAGGCAAAGCCCTGGAAAGAAAGGTGGCCACTATGATATTGACCACATCATCCACCAAGTGCCACTTGATGTGTAAAATATAGGTCTAGCGCTATTTGCCCAATACACCTGAAGGTGTGAAAAAAGAATCCTGACCTAATGTAATCAAACTGTAAAACAAATTAAACATTGATGGAAAAGATCTACGAATAATAAAGAGTATATTGGCAGCAAACAGCAGCTATAAAAATTAACAACTGTTTAGGTACATTTCAAAGCATAAAGAGGGGCGTACGACAAGGATGTGTACTGTCACCTGATTTTTTTCAATATACAGTGAAAATATAATGAGATCTTTAATCAATATGCCCGGAACTGTGGTTGGTGGGCACAATATAAACAATTTATGCTATGCTGATGACACTGTTTTAATAGCAACAAGTCAGAAAGAACTACAGGAAATGATAGACATTGTGGTGTTAGAAAGTGGAAGAATGGGCCTCAGTTTGAATAATGGGAAGTAATGGTGGTATCAAAGAAACGAATTATTCCTAATTGTGTAATAAAAGTCAATGGTGTTATTTTGGGACAGGTACAGAAATGTAAGTATCTGGGCACATGGATAACATCAGATGGAAGATGCATAACTGAGATAAGAAGCAGATCAGGACAGGCAAAAACTGCATTCTATAAATGAAGAACTTCTTGTGCAATATATCCTTGTCACGGAGAGTTAGAAAAAGAATTAGGTAGGCAGTCGGTAGGCAGGCCAAACAATTTCTTGAGGCCTCAGAGATGTGGTTTTACAGAAGAATGCTTAGAATACCTTGGACAGCCAAAAAGAGCAACCAAGAGGTTTCAAAAGAGGTGGGAGCCCGAAGACAACTTGTCACAGACATCAGAAGGAGACAGCCATCATTTTTCGACCATGTTATGAGAAGAGGGAAAATAGAACATGTTGTGACCACTGAAAAGATCTGTGGAAAAGGAGGGATAGAAGAAGATAAGATCAGATTCTTAACAGTCTTGTTGCATGGCATGGAGGTGTGTCGGCACACGGACTGATGCATGCTGCAAGAAATCGTAGATTGTGGAGAGGCATGATCACCCACGCTAGTCAGCAAGGCACCTGATGATGATGATGATGACCTAATGTGGAGAAAAAAGAATAAACCCACTGCCTCCCCACCGAGAAACTGGAACCTTTCTTTGAAGTCTGTGGCATCTGTCTGAGTAGCAAGGAACAACCAGCTGCTCACAGATAAGCCAGTAAAATGGACGTACATGCAAAACTTTGGCCCTGGTACAAAGCAGTCCATTTGTTCCACATTCTAGTGCTTGTTTGATGATTCTCTGTCCGCTTTACCTTGTAGTCTGCCCACTTTTTAACCATCTTTTTGTTGTTGTATGATTGATGGCACAAGCTACTGAATAATTTCACTCATAGATCATGTTGTGTCATTGTGTGTAGTATATTTTTTTTTTTTTTTTTTACATTCTCTTCTCCAGCAAAATAGGAGAGGAACAGTTACCCGAAGATGCAGAAGATGGTCCACCAGAGCTATTAGTAAGTGATCCTGAAGAGAGAGAGAGAGAGAGAGAGATAGAGAACGGCGGGCCTGCACACACACACACACACACACATGTGTATACCTACATTTGTATGTACAAGTGTAAATTTACATATGATAGAGAGTGTATGAGTCACTCAATCAGTGAAAACACTGGTTCTTACACTAAATATTTTTGTGATTGTTGTCACATTCCTGCCCTGATTGTATTGCAAATGTTTGTGTCCCAATTATTGCATATAAATATTTATGTTCTAGTTGTCTCTAAGTATTTTTGTCCTAGTTGTTATTTTAATTATTTATATCCTAGTGTTTGCAGTAAATGTTTCTATTTTTTTTTGTAAATTTATTTCTATTCTTGTTGTTCCTGTAAATATCTTTGTCCTTATTATTATAAATGTTATCATACTTGATACTGCTAATGTATCTGTTGTTGTTACTGCTGATTCCCTGATACAAAATGCTGCAGAGCTTCATATATGGTGTCTTTAATAAAAATACATCCACTTTCAGTTTATTCATGGCGGCCATACAGCTAAAATCTCTGACTTCTCATGGAACCCCAACGAACCTTGGGTCATCTGTTCAGTGTCCGAGGACAATATCATGCAAGTGTGGCAGATGGTGAGTAGTTCTTTGAGTATTGTATGCAAAAATGAGTCGAAGTTGTATTCATGGCTTGTAGTGACCCTTGATTCCTTGAATACACTTTTCTTGACTTGGGCACTTTCTTCTTCTGCTTCTCTCCATTTATCTCTGATGACACTGTTTAGTTATGTTCTATTTCACTTTATCTTGTGAAATGAATAACACCACTTCTCCCCCTCCTCCTCCCCCCACCACCACCACCACACTGGACTTTCCCAGGCAATCCACATGAAATCTCAGTCCCCGAGATGGGGTGAAAAAAAAAACAACAACCCACGGTTCACTATAAAATGAGTGCCCTGGAAGTAGCCTGCCAGTGAAGTGGTCTGTGGTTCAGTCATCTGTAGCGGCAGGATCTGTGTAAACTTGTGTTTAACTAAAGCGACCTGATGTAGACAAACCCCAAAGTTTTACCAGATGGAATATTTGTAATATCTGGGGAAAAGGTAATGAAAATGGTTGTTAGCTGGTCATTTCAGCCAGTTTAGTTGTGCCTCTATTTGGGTATTGAAGGTCTAACATTTAACATCCATACTGCAGTAATATACAGAAACTATAGTAGCATATTTAAGTTATTGATTTGCAGTTAAATCAAGTGAAACAGGGGTGTACTTCATATCCCTTTTTATTTGGTACAGCTTTTGAGAGTATGAGAGAAAAAAAAAACCTACGAAACACCAGCATTGACTGGGCGGAGAACCCACAGTCGTAAAATCTAGATTTTGCAGATGAAATTGATTTTCTAGGTAAGAAAATAAAAACAGGATTTGGCAAAAATAGTATCAAGAGTTAAATTATAGATAAGTTGTATAATAATATATTGAAGACATCAATAACAGATGTAGCAGATGTAACACTAGAGAAAAAGTATTAAAGTAGCAGAACGATTTACTTGCCTTAGAAAAATGCTGAATATAAAATGGGATGAATTCAAAGAGTGAAGAAATACGAGGAATATCCAGGCAGTCACTGGTATCAACAGTGTTAAGACAGAGAAGGTAGCATTATATTGGACACATTCTGAGAAGAAATGAGCAGAGAATCGCAAAAGAGGCACTGAAATGAGAAATAGATAATTTGAGGACATTCAAGAGAAGCTGTAAGGCAGATGTTAAGGAAGGCCAAAAGTGCTGGAATGGATTCCAACCATCATATTAAAGGGATTGCACAGGATAGAAGGGTATGGAGAAATAGACTGCAAGCCCTGTGTGACTTGTAATAGCTCGGCAGGACAGTTAATAAATAAATGAATAGTAGAATAAATGTTAAGTCACCTGCTTGTGAGTTCAATAGTCTGATTTCAGTCTCCACCAGAGGCAGAAATATTGACTTTGACCGTGTTGCCCCAGCTTTAAAAAAAAATGGACCACAGAAAATTTTTAAGAGTTGCCCGGAAAGGTAAAAATAATGAGGAAGGGAACTGAGCTCTCCACCTCACATATCCTTGGCTAGAATATGCGAAAGCTTAACACTAAGCACCTCAAACTGCAAGTGGACTTGCTTTTGCAATGGTGTCATTTGTGTATTTTGAGATACAGTCTGGTGTCTTTTTTAAAATTGTCAGTTGTTTCTGATACCTCTTTGTTTCGGATACCTGCTTCACCCCCCCCCCCCCCTCCCCCACCCCGTATTCACACAGTTGCCTAGGTGTGAACCTTTTTCTGTGTTTGCCCTTAAACAGGAAATAGACACATAATTTTTTGCTGAACAGCTAGGCTGTGATATGCACACTTTTTTTGGTCACACTTTTTTCAGCAACTGGCACGATGCTGACCACATCACCCACTGGATACCGATTTGTATAAAATATAGGTCTAGACCTATATGCCTGATGTCGTAGAAAAGGGTCCTTTACTTTACCTAATGCCAGCAAATACTTAATTAGTCACGTTTCATAAGCCGCTTGTTGAGTGATGGTGAATCTCTTCTTAATGTCCTCTTCAAAATGAGGTCACAAGACCCACACAGGGCGAGTATAAAGCGTAAACCTCTAAACAGTGTTACTGCAGAGTCTTTATAGTGAAGGGGTCAACCCATGTGCCAGGTGCTGTGGAGATCAAGGGCTCATTTCCTGGACACATTGTTTAGTGGTGAAGGTAGCTTTTTTGACACTCAGGAGTTGCTTTTTTTTGGACACTCTCAACAGACAGCTGGCCATTTTAGAGAGAGAGAGAGAGCTTGAACTCTGTAGGATAAGCTCAGGCACTGCGATCAGTTCTGTTAAACTTTAACCGTAAACTGCATGTTTCTCATACCTGCTTTTGTCCTCCTTATTCAACCAGCTGCATGAGCAGGCATCTTCTCTCCGAAATTGAAATTGTTTTGACCCTATCAGGCACCACTGCTGACTGGAAAAAATAATAGCAGCAGAAGGCATGGTCCAAGGAAAGGGGCAAGCACGAAGATGGACACAGGAAATAACTGACACTGTGAGTCAGCTTGGACAATTTGCACAAGGTGGGAGAGCTGGCAGTACAGCAACGTTTCTTTCAGGGAGACTGATGTGAGCGACATTCTGTGAAGGACCTACTACATGTTGTTATGTTATCACAATCGAGTCTTTGCACTTTATGCATCCCCAAGCGTGCTCAGTCATCCGATGCAGTAGCCGCTCCAAGGTACCTCTACTGATTGTTCCCACGAGGAATTAGTTATAATATTTCCTGTCTTTACCTCGAAGACAGCATATCTGTGCTTCACCAAGCTAAGCATTAGAAGTTAAGTAAAGATCCCTTTTCTGTACAGCGTTGATATCAGCCTTGTCCATGCTTCTTCCCATTTGCCTTGGTGCATTACTCGCCACATGATATGAGTGTGAACCAAATTTTCAAATCTACCATTGCTTCTTAATCTCCAGGCTGAGAACATCTACAATGATGAGGAGCCTGAGCAACCAGTAGGAGAACTGGAGGCTGCAGCATCGTAATGTTAGCTTGTTGGTTATCCAGTAGTCGGCACCATTGGAGAAAATGGATGGCAGCTGCATTATGGCAGAGAAATGGGTTATTGTTGATAGACACAGACTGGACTTTGTTGTTGTTTCCCCAGTGTCTGATGATCCAACACAACACTTTGTCAATAATAAATGTTTTTATCATGGCTGAATTGTAATAAATCATTATTCTTCATTGTTTACATTAACTCTTTTTGAATCATTTTTAGATTTTCTCCCCCATAAGTTTTGACTCTTTCTGTGGTTTCATGTAATCTAAAAAAATTTTGGTGTTATTAGGAGACCAAACAATTCAAATAAGAAAACTTATCTGCTGTATCTGTTTTTATATTTGATTCTGAATGAATTAGTTTAGTTAGTCTCTCCTCTTGAGCTTAGGGTATCGCATAGGGTAGAGGTCATAACTCTCCATGTCTGGCGGTTTATTGCCATCTGATTCCGGTCTTAGTTGTTTGTTAGGCCCATGGTTGAGCCTTCCCTGATGATGGTTCTGCTTCTCTCTTCGGGTGTCCATATGAGGGCTTAATGCGTCAGTCTGATCTTATCCATTGTGAGTGCATGGCCTGTGTAGTTCCAGCGGTGCTTTTTGAATGAATGTTTACATTTAATTACTTCTAATTACTTTTGTTGTCTTTTTCACACTTAGGTTTCAGTTGTTTTGTGCAGGTTTCAAGGCCCCCTGCCCTCATTACAAGCATGTCATATGAGGCAACTAATCAGGGGTTTTCTGTAAAGGGACCGACAGTCTGCATACAAATAAGCCAGATTTGTAAAACATATGCAGGTAAAACTCTTGTTCTGCAACAAGACTAATGTGCAGAAGTAGGATAACAACCAGAACTTTCTGCGGGAGTTTGCACTCGGTAAACACTAAGTAGAAAAAAAAAAGAAGATATGCTTGTTAAGGAGCAATGGGTTGTATCCTTTTTAAAAAAAAAACCCAAAAATGGGGCCCTCGTAAAAAAGGCTGATTATTTCATTTGCTGAAGTTCCGGGGCCCCATTGTGGGGGAAACAAGAATAGACCCACTGCTTCCCCAACAAGCATGTCAGTCGGCTAATTAGGGGCTTCCTTCGAAGTCGGTGTGCATCTGCCCGAGCTCTCCATGTCTGGCGGTTTGTTGCCACCTGATTCCGGTCTTAGTTGTTTGTTAGGCCCATGGTTGAGCCAGAGCGGCAAGGAACAACCAGCTGCACACAGATAAGCCAGTAAAACAGATGTACATGCAAAACTCGGGCCCTGGCACAAAGTCAAAGTCCTGGTGGATGAAAAACTAGGAATTTTCACCGGAGCTTACAGCCGGTGAACAAAGGAGAAGAAGATTTATGGAAGTATGCATGATTCTATATAAATGTTTACATTAACTCTGTCTTCTTACAATTAGTTGTTACAATTTTTTTCTGTTCGAATGTGTAGTTTTTAAAAATAATTAATATTGCATGTGAAGGAAATCATACAATAACTTGACTAAACAGAACAGTGAACATGGCAGTATTTCTAAGATAGGTTAACATAAAAACACTCGAGACAAGAAATGAAGAAGAAATCTTTCTTGAGTTAACTACATCTAATCACTTTTCAATTTTCAAAAGTTACAATAGGTTTTTAGAAGTGTCTGCTTTTGTGTAATGTACAAATACTCTAATGTTGATAGGGAGAACAAACATGTTGAATGTGAAAACTCATCTGCTGAATCTGTTTATCTGATATGAAATTCATTACAGTTGTTAAGTTCCTGAGCGTCATTTTGTTTTTGTTCAGAAAAAAGGTGTGATTATGAATGATGTTTTGACCTTTGGTGTGGTAGAAGCTGTGAACTTTTACTTTATGAACTTGTTTGTTATTAGTATACAAAAATCAAAACAGCATTTTTCTTGTATTTAAATAAATAAGCTTCCCGTATGGGTCTCAGGCCCCATTGGGGGGGGGGGGGGGGGGAGAGAACAATGGTTCCCTCTCTTTCCCAACAATCATTTAGTAAAAGGTATTTAATAAAAAGCATCTAATTCGGAATTATTCTTTTGAAGTCAGTGCATCTGAGAGGCAAGGAACCAACAGTCTGCATATAAATAAGGCAGATCCTTAAGTTCTGAAACAAGACAAAGTCCAGAAGCAGATGAACAACCAGAGCTTTCCACCAGAGTGTACAGCCAGTGAACGCTAAAGAGAAAATTAATAATAGAATGGAAACTGACTCTCTCAGAATAGGATTGATCAAATGACACGGTAGTGCACCAAACCAAAAACCCACACTTTTCAGGCGTAAAGGGCAAGACCTATATTTTATTGACCATCGGCATTCAGTGGGTTATGTAGTCAGCATCACGCCGGCTGCCTTTACTTCCTAGGACTCCACCTGGTACCCATTGAAGGCTGGGCAGATGCTTGAGGCTCAGAGGAAAGGCAAGACGGACGTTTAATCAGAATGCTACTGGCACCATTAGTATTGGAACTCTTCGCTGGCTGCTGAAGATGGGGACGGAGCGCTTATGGAAATGCCCCGAGTGCTGTGATGTCGGTTCTTGAATCAAATCAAATCAAATGAAGGCTGGGAGCCAAGGTAATTTTTTTGAAGTCCCAAACCATGACCTCCCGATCAGCGGGCAAGTGTCTAGCTGTTACACCACGGTGATGAGTGCTATGTAGATGCTTGTATTTACTGTCTTGGATATCCATCGCTTATGTGGTCACCTCTAGGACTGCTTCCATTATGTTTAAGTTACAGGGCTTTCTGCAGTGCACTGCCTGGTGGTGGTCTTGGCACACATCTGAACCACTTGGTCTGTTGTCTACTAATGTAGTTTAGAAAACTAATAAATATGTCAGAGACAAAATATACAAATTTGCAGGACATCAGGAGCCTCTCTTGGCAGTGTTGCTAGCTTGGTTTAATCACGTGGTCAAGCATGATTCGATTGCAAAGACTACTTCAAGGAACATTTGGGTGTAGTCGAAGAAGAACCTGAAATGACATCAAGAAATGGACAGGACTACGTTATCATTCACTTATTCATCAAGACAGAAAGATGACGGGTTCTATGTGCTAGTGCTTCCATCAATACACCCCCACGACCCTAATAAGTCAAGGGTTATGTTATGGTAATATAGTTTAGCAATAGTTCCGTCCCAACTTCTTTCCTGATATTTCTGATTCTGTCTCTTCTAGTAACATTTAGTTTTTGTTGTAGACATTTCATTCAGTCGTTTTGATTGTTCTATTCTCAGTTGCCTTTTTTTTTGGCACTGGTAACAAAGTTTTAGTAGAAATTACTGTATCGATTAGTGCTCCTTTGGTGTCTGTTGCTACAAGTTTATTTTGCCGTATTGGTGACCAACGATCTGATTTGCATTATTACATCTGTGTTCTGTCTCTGAACTTCTACAAGATGTCGGCCAAAATTTCCATGCAACTGTTTCATAAGACCACTTCCGCCCCAACTCCGCCTGTTAAAGAAGCATAGTTTCATACACAAAATCCAGTTGCATATTGTCTCTTAATGAAGTCTGGTTTACAAAGGATTACTTTATTCTTTGGGCTTTTATGCGGGAGACCCTGATTTGATCCCCGGTAAGTAGTTTTTTGTGCCATGGACCAAATTTAACATCCTACCTACATAGTCCGTGGCGACAGCACTAGCCAGGCGGCCTTAAATCCTCAGGCTCAAGACGACCCCCCCCCCACCCACCCACCTCTCTAAAATTAGTAAAAAAGTCAGTAGTGACACTTGTTTCTTTTAACTATAGAAAATAATTGTACACCGAGACCAACAACTAGAGTTTTGAGGGATAAGAGGTTGTAGTCAAGATCGACTTTATTGTTGTTAAAAGCATGTTGCAAACCAGCCCCTATTTGTTGGCCATTTGTGGATTTACTAAGCAATTTTATTACTTTTATTGGTTTGTGACGGTCACAGCTCCATTTGTGAAATATCCCTCTGTGGGATCCAGGGCCCTCTTGTTGGGAAAACAAGAATAGACCCACTGCCTACCCAAAAGCATGTTGTAAGAGTCGACCAATTGGCAGCTTCCTTCAGAGTTGGAGTGCATCTGCCTGAGAGGCAACGAACAAACAATCTGCATACAAGTAAGTCAGATCTGTATGTGAAACGGATGTACACACAACACTCAGGTTATGGAAAAGAGCTACAGTCTAGAAGTAGATAAACAACAATAACTTTCCGCCAGTTTACAGTTGGTGAATGCAAAGAAGAAGATTGTAGAAATAAACAAAACGGCCTGCTACCCAGTCACCTGCAGCTGAGTAGACGTTTCAGAATTTCACAGCTTTTGCAACACTGAAGACTTCATTGAAGTAGTAGTAGATTTTTACCCCACTAGGACATCACACAAGTGATAAACATCCGATGACACAAAGTGCCACCATGTGGATAAGGATTACCGTGGAGAGGTCCCAGAAACCGCGTTCAGCCATTAGACAATATTTATGGTCGGGCTATATTGCGGCCATCGGAAAGAGCCAGGGTGGGGCTTCAGAATAATGAAAAATGGCATCTCACAATGAGATGACTGGATTGAGACGTCATTGTACCACATGCCAGGCTTTATCTCACGTGGCTCAGGTGCTGTCCACAGATTGGCTAGTCTCCTGCCTTGATCACGACATAAAACATGAACATTGTAGCTCTAGCAGTCATCCCCAGGGAACGTAAACATTGGTCAATTCAGTCTGAGAAACAAACCTGCAGAGTGTATGGCAAACAGTTTAACTTTTAAGACAGAGGATCAAACTGATACCTGCATCTCAATGTCGGACGCAATTTGATGTTGTTTTAAAGCCCCACTTTGGCTGTTGCACAATGATTGCACATTAAGGAAACAATATATCCCCGAAGCTATCAAAATTGTCCAATTATTTACAGTACAATTTCCATAATCACAACCCAAATCAAAGCAGAATGTGAAACTACAATTTGCATTTTGTTTATTCAAGTCAGTACATGACATATAAGTTT